CACTTTGGTTTTAAGAACAATTTAGCCAAGAGTGGTGAGGCATTTCTGTGCTTTGGAAGCTGATGAAGAAGATCCTAAATTCAAGGTCAGCCTGGATTATATGGTGTGTTAAAAACAGAAAAACACCAATTCCCCCAGAAAGGAATGATTCAAGAGGAGCTCTGGGCACTTGAATCGGGAGAAATCGAGTGACTGCTGTCACGTGCTCTTCCAAGCAATCCATTTTAACCACAGCCTCCATTCTGGTGACCTTTAGGGCTGCAGCTGCGTTTCTGCCTCCCCTCAGCAATCCCTAGCAGAAGATACTTGCTGGCTCCACCCTGTTTCAAGTTCTGCGTCCTGCACTATGTATTTGTCACGTACTGTCGCCACTGTGGTCCCTAGGCAAAGCCAAGGTGGCTTTCACCTATCTGGTGAAACCACAACAGGAAAAAGAATCCCATCCCAAATTACTGCGGGACTTCAGAGGGGCCCAGGCATGTATTCACTAGATTGGGGTTTGGGAGATAATTTGATGCTGACGAGGGGCTAAGCAAAGGATAAGGGTCCTTTTATCTGTATTGTTATGTAAAGCCGTGTGTAAATCAGATGCTGTTTCTAAGGCAACAGCTCTGGAGTTTTGGAAAGGGGCCTACACGTGAGCCTTGAAAGACTGCTTCCTTGGCAGTTTTGGCCTTTCTGTGAACCTTGAAAGGGCTTGATCTTCCAGCCCAGAGTGGATGCGCTCCAGTCTCCGGGTCACCCCCATGCTTGGGAACTAGGCTCTTGATCATATGCTTGGGAACTAGGATCTTGACTGCAGCAGGAAGCCATCTACTGTGTGGCCGAGATAGACGGAGATTTTGAACCGTACATGGAGGCATCCAGGGGTCAAGTCTGTCACCCTACCTCGTGTGGCCCGACAGGGCGGGAAGCCACCTCTTCAATGACCAGGGGACGCTTCAACTCGGAGCAGAGTGCGGCGCGGTAGTGCCGGCCTTGGCTCTGCGCGGCTCGCCTGCAAAGAAGAAAACAGGGCTGGTTTTCTCGGGTGTACCCGGGGACCGGTACTGGGGGGCTCTGGGGAAGAGTCGGGCTTGCACCTGTAGAGCCACGCCAGAGGGAGGTGCCGTGCATACAGCCGCGCCGCCATGACTAGCTGAAACTCGTGAGGGGCGTGGTCAGCGCGTGGCAGGAAGAGCCCCGGGGAGAGCGGAAAGGCGTCCCGGGACGCGCCCCCGACGACCGGTCGACCAGCGACCCAGCGGGCGGGGCTCGCTCTGTCCGCCCGGGGGCAGGCAGCTGCAGCCTGCTCCTAAGGCTAGACCACGGGGCGCACAACCCTGGAGTCCGTCCTCGGTGCAGAAAAGCAAAAAGGAAGAATGAGGAAAACGATTCGATTACCTCAGATTAACCTTTTTTTTTTTTTTTTTTTTTTGGAGACAGTCTCTCTGTGTAGCTCTCGCTGCCCTGGAACTCGCTGTGTTGAGCAGGCTGGCCTAGAAGATGTGATCTTCCTGCCTCTGCTTCCTGGGTGCTGGAACTATGTAAAATCTGTATTCAGTGTCTAGCGGTGGTGGTATACGCCTTTAGCCCCAGCCGTTGGAGGGAAGACACGGAAGCAGGTGGATCTTCGTGAGTTGGAGGCCATCCTGGTCTACAGAGCGAGTTCCAGGACAGCCAGGGCTACACAGAGAAACCCTGTCTTGAAAAACTAAACAGCAGCAACAAAATCCGTATTTGGAAGCTACTATATTTCTGTAGTAGTTCCAGGGTTCTCGATCAGATAGAAGTACTAAGGTCAATCCTTTGATGTCTGCATTCAAACGCCTTGCTAGGGTCCCTACCACTAATTTTCTCACACAGGATTAATTATGATAAAACTAAACTGTTGCTAACGATCTGGTGTTAACAGATCCTGAGCAAATCCAAAGAGAATGCCCAATTAGACAGAAGCCAGCTGGGCACACGCCTGTAATCCCAGGACCCAGAAGACAGAGGCAAGAAAAAAAATCTAACATTCGAATCAGCCCGAGCTACAGAGTGAGACCCTGTCTCAAAAATAAAAATAAATGAACATGATGACAAACGCCTTCAATCACATCACTCAGAAGAAGGCAGAGAGGTGATTCTCCATAAATTTAAGGCCAGCCTGGCCTACATAGCCAATTCCTGACCAGTCAGGGCTGCATAGTTAAATCATGTCTCAAAATATAAATTAATGAGGAAAATAAAATCAAACTCAATGATTTTCATGTTCCAAAGGCCTGCTTATATTAGGTTTAACATTTAGTAAATGTGATTCAGTGACCCCATAATCCCTAGGTGCAAAGGTACACCCTGGAAGAATTAAAAACAATATTATTGTATATATGAAATATTATATAAAACTGGTTAGGAATTGGCAAGATGGCTGAATGGTTAAAGGTGCTGTTATCAAGCTTGACAACTGAATTCAATCTCCAAAACCCACATGGTGGAAGGAGAGAACCTACTCCCAAAAATTGCCCTCTGAATTCCCAAGGCTAGCCTTATGACATATGTACACACACAATAAATATGTATAAATAACATATATTTATTTATTATTTGTTATTATTGAATAATTATATAAATATTACATAAATTTGTATTTTATTATATATTAGATATATATTACATATTAAAAATGAACTGGTTAGACATACTTACAACAGCAACCAAATATATACCAGCAATGTATGAGAGGTGTGTGATATACTGGGGAGGCTGTACCATTGGATAAATAGCATTTAATGACACCATAGTGTCTTTAAAAGATATCCGATCAAAGACTATATAGGTCACAGGTTGAAACCCTATTCTACCACCTCCTTAATGGTTCTCACCCTCAATTAACTCTTCCTTAGAAAGAAGGCACTGAACACGAATGAACAGCAATTGAATGAAGGGAAACCGGAAAGCAAAGCTGAAGAAAGAATGCATTTCTGAGACTATGGCCTGAAGGCTTTGATAGTTGAGAAATCCAAGGCCAAATAACCACCTCAGGTGTGTAGTAGAGGACACCGTCATTATAACAGCATTCACTGGGAACTTTTAGCTTCACATACACACAGCAGAAGGGAAACAATGTCCAGAACGTGGTAAAATGTCTCAAAACCTGTGTTTCCAATGAGACAGACATGAAAACCCTTTGTAAACTGCTAATCACCAAGCACATGAGATGAAACCAGGAGCTGGAGATGTGGCTCAGTGGCCCAGCGCTTGCCTGGCATGCTGGAGGCCCTAGGTTCGATCCTCAGCAATGTGAAAAAATGGAAAGAAGCCAGAAATTGTGGAGAAATGCAATGTTACCACCAAATGGCCTTCTTAGGTTGGTAGTATAACTCTGTAGTAGAGCACCAACCTAGCCTGTGAGGCCCTGAGCTTGGTCACTAGCATCTAGGGGGGAAAGGTTGTAGTTGCCAAAAAACAGTTAACAACAAGAAATCTCAAATTTATGATGTAACCAGAATCATTTGTTCTGAGTATTAATTGCTATTGCTTTGTAGACAAACAATTTGAGATCCAACTGGTACCTCCAGAGTGCTGGGATTAAAAGTATACACCACCACCCCCAGCCCTAGCAACATTTCTTAATCTTATTTATATTTACAGTATTCGTATAATGCTTGACACTTTTAAGTATTTAATAGATGTGTACCTAAAGAATTGTTGAATGAGAACTCAGATATCTAGTATTAATTCTCCTGATAATTAGAAACAACTTGAAGTATTAAGTCTCTTTTTACTTTCAATTAAGTACTTTAATGGAAATTTTTTCATGTGCAAGTATATAACAGGAGGAACACATGTGTGGTATATGTTCATGTACACATAAGGGTGAATATGCTGATACTCACACAGAGGTCAGAGGATGGTGGGTGTGCTGATCTTTCACTTTCTGCTTTATTCCTTCAAGGCAGGGTCTCTCACTGGCCCTGGAGAAAGTGATAAGCAAGCCCTAGGGATCCTCCTGTCTCCACCTCCCTCAGCACTAGGCTTAGAGATGCGCACACAGGACCACTCCTGGCTTTTTAGGAGGGTGTTGGAATTAAACTCTGGTTCTCATGTTTGTACAGCAAGCGCTTTTACTCACCAAGACATTGTCCTAGCCCCAGGAAAATGTTCTACTATTGTTTTCAGGGTATTCTGCCAATCCCAGAGAATATGAAGAGCATTGAGTATAAGGAAGCTTCTCAACACTGCATTCAGCATTTATAAAACAATCTGAAGAAATTAGTAGACATCTATTTAAGAAGAGTGTTGAGAGATGTTGAAAGTGTAAGATTTTAGACAATTCTGAAGCCATTTCTGACAATTCCAAACCCTCTCAGCCTCTGTGCCTCAGTGCTTCCCCTCCTCCCCTGGGAACCAAGGACCTAACAGCTACACATGCACGTACTCAGTTCCTGAACAATTACCCATACACGTATGTTTTGACTCAGTCCCCTGGGAAACGGGGTCAAAATGACCTCTTACCTCATCTGATCTGACAATAGTTCTCCAGTCAATTATTGGTATTAGCCCTTTTCGAATAAGCCAATCATAATGGTCAAATGCGGCGCGCATCCTGACCAGCAGGAATGAACGCCACTAAAAACGAGAATTCCTTCCCTGGTCACGTCTTTATTCGGAGCCCTTTGATTGAGGAAAATTGGGGGAAGGGAAGATAGAGCAGGGACAAGAGAAAGCTTAGAGAGAGGAAGTAGAGTCCAGAGGCAGCTGCTTTTAAACGGTGGAGAGGCTTGAACGCTGTCCTGATTGGTTAATGCCATTCTGCTGGTCTGAGCATGTGCAAGCAAGGGTGCAGGCAAGGGTGCTCAGCCCCACATGGCTAAGCCAGGTATACCTCCAAACTGCAGGACCACCTGTGCCTCCAGGTGGCTCCCAACAGTCAAGGAACAACCCCTCTTGTTTCTATGGGGCCTTCTCCTTTAAAAGCAGACTGTACCAGCTAATCGAGGTCTCTCGGCTTCCCAAATGCTGGGGGACCCTGTCATGACAGAATTAAGAAAATCCTCATGCTTTTGCATCGGCTGTGGTGTATGAGGTGGTCTCTGGGGGCGACTCCTTCTCGGGTTGGACACTAGAGTCCAACAAAAGTATTTTAGGTAGTTGAGTTCATCTGAGCACTTGTATGTAAAAGAACATTCACATTTACAGAGAGCAGTCAACAGCAAGGCAGGTTGTTTAGTAGTAGTTACCATGGTAGCAAAGGAAACGTCTAGCCTGCCCATCAAGGTGTTGCCACCACACCTTGCTGTATACTTTCAGCTATTGTTTCTGGTTGTCCTGGTTATTTAGTTTTATTTGGGAGTGAGGCCCAATGAAGAAACAAGAAGAATAAAAGTTGAGTCCTGAAGGAGATTAACATCAAGCAATTAAATCCAAACCATCATTCGTCTTCTCCGAAGGAGGCAGGAGATCCAATGCTGCCCTGCAAACCAGCTTGAGGGCTCATTAGGGAAGTAAAAGAGTAACAGATGATTCTTCCTTCTGCTGCAAATCACACGGAGAGATAATATTTAACATCCAGGAGCTGCCGGAGGCCTGGGGATGAAGAAGCAAGCCAAAGTTGGATACACAAACCTCTCTGTTTTCACAGAATAGTAGACAAGCAACAGAATCTCAGTGCAGGACAGTGCTAGGAATGTACAAGGATCCTCCACAGCAAAAATGTGCTACCCAATAACACATCTCGAAAACAGAGGCTGTCTCTGCTACCTCCGAGTTTACCTCCACGTCTAGCACATAGTGAATGCCAAGAGGGTGCAAAGAAGGAGCTCTACAAGCTGTCTAGGAAAGCTGCAGGCACCACATAACTGAAGTCACGCATCCCAAGGGTGTTTGTTTGTTAGGCTTTATCTATTATTTATTTATCCATCTGTATGTGTGTATTTGTGTGTGTGTGTGTGTATACATCCATGCATTTATGTGCAACACATGCAATAATCCATGGAGGCCAGAAGAGGGAGTCAGAGCATTTGTAAGCCCTGTAGTTGCTGTGAATGGAATTCTGCTGACCCCATCATTCTGACCCAAGTTTTAAAGGTTCTTGCACATAATTCCTTACCAGAGTTTATGACTACTGGGCATAAGTTAGTCTTTATTTATTCTAGTTCAGCAATGCTATCATGGTTATGAGTTACCATCTTGTGATTGCCTCCACATCTCAAGCATTTTGGAGGACGAGTTTGCCATTTTAGTACTCTTCCCCAGGATGTGAATTCTGATCACTCCGGGGAAGCTACTGTTTATCAGCTTCAGAGATGTGCTTTAACACTGATCCGAGGAATGGCCAGTAACTACTTCTCCATCCCAGGAATAACCGAAGGTTTGCTATGCAAGTTATTTTTCCACCATCCATGGAACCAGGATCTCTGACCTGAGATGGAGTTCAGGATAGTCCCAGCACTTGGAAGGCAGAGGCAAGAGGATCTCTGTGAGCTCAAGGCCAGCCTCGACAGACAGGGATATAGCAAAACCCTGTCTCAAAAAATAATAACAACAAAAAGATATTCTCATCAAACTGCCTCGTTCATAAGAAACAGAGTAAGTGGGATATGGCCCAAGGTCTCATTGCTGGGTGGTGGCAGGGACAGCATTAGGATCAGATTTTTCCTGTTTGCTGCTCTGGCTACCATTCAGCCTGGGTCTCGTTTCTCCACATGTACATCTTCTACATCATCATCCATATTTCACCTTTCCACAGTGTTTCATGGGATTCAAATCACTGTCACCCAAACAGCTTCACCAGTAACCTCGAGAGCAATGATGACCAGTGTTAGAAGGAGCACTTGTTGATTTCTCATAGCAGAGCAGTTACCGAGTGCTTTTGCATGATTTCATTAACCCTCACAATGGTCCTAGATAGTGGAAGACTAGCATACTATTTTTTCCCCACTCTTTTATGGGTCGGGGGATATAGGCTGAAGTGGGTTAAGTAGCTTGCCCAAGGCTACACATCTAGGAAACCGAGCAGTTTAGCATCGTCCTAATTGCCTGCCAGAGCCCCTCCAACAGTCTCCAGCCACCCACTGTGCTTCCCCCAAATGCCCTCTGGAGTAGACAAAGAAGGTATTATACAATGCATTGTAAAGCCGGTGCTCTGCTTGGAGTCTTCAGCTTGGTTTTATAGGAATTTTACAGTCTCTCAGGCCCAGAAAAGAAAATAATTCCCCTCAGAAAAGAATAAAGTGAAAGCGGCCCTCCGGGGATACCTGCAGTTGAAGGACAAGAACAGGAAGAAATGCCAGCACATAATTAGGAGCAACTGCCCCGGTCCATAAAGCCATAAGCTTGAAAGTGCATTGGTTTCATGTCAGAGCAGACTGTGTAAGATTTAAAAGTGTGAGTACATAGAGCCGTGTTCACACACACGCACACACACACACACACACTGGGATGCACAACGTGATTACTAGAACAAGGCTCCGACTGGGTTGCCCGGTTACAGGCTGTGACTTAAGCAGGTACCAGCAGGCATTTGGGCTAAATTCTTGGTATGTAGATGGAAGCACTAAGATGACCCAGGATGTGGGGACTGCTATCTCCCCAAAGTTCACCACCAGTATCTGCAGAAAACAACTGTTTTCCAACTTGAGCCACCGCTAGGAACTAGTGAACAAATTCTCAAATGTCCTAGCAACTTTATGAAAACTGTTCAGTTCCCACATTCCCCAGAGAAGGGAAATTCTCCCATTGCACATGCCCTCCCCGACTCACCCCAAGGAAATGTATACAACGCTGCATTAGCTCTCTAGTCTCACTGTTCAGGTTGGTGTTTCTCTCCATCCCCACGGCCAACCTGCAAGAAATACAGATAATTCTAAGAATCGCTTAGTGAAGTAAAAGGAATTTGGGTTGTGGGATTTGTCACACCTGCATTTGGTCCCTGGCTTAGCTACTCCTCGTTGTAATCTTGGGAATGTAGTTTAATTTCTCGAAACTTCCACTCCCTCATACATAAAGCAGGCTTAAGAACGGCTGCCTCTGCCTCAGGCAGAAGTTGTGAGGATTACCACACAGAAGCAAGTATACAGCTGGATTCGCTAAGAAGACACACTCTTTGCCCTTGAGAATCTTACCAGGTAGCCGGGGGGCCGTAGTGGTGATGTCAACCTGGTCTACAGCGTGAGTTCCAGGGCAGCCAGGGCTATACAGAAAAACACTATCTGGAAAGACCAAAAACATTGCCTCACTATCTAGCAGAGTGAAACACAGAGGTGGGTGCAATGGGGGCTGTAGGACCAGAGAGAAAGGTTAACCCTCCCCTGCCAGAGATGGATTTTAGAAAAACCTCACAGAAGTTTCTAATAGGATTAGCCAGCCAGAAGACACAGCCGGGGTTATGGTAAGGGACTGCATACGGAAGAATATGGAAAGTTCAGGGTGTTCCAGATATTGTTTGAGCCAAAGAACAGTGAAATGGGGCTGGGAGAGAACGAGTATAAATTTTAGAGTCAGGCAGTTGGGAGCTCCATCACTTTCCAGCCCTACATTTCAACCAAGTGACCTCTTCCTGAATCTCAGCGTCCCCATTTATGAAACGACTCTGATCACAGATCTTATATAGGCAAAATGCCTGGCACAGAATCTACTTCTTAAAATTATTTTGATTGCTCTGTATCTCTGTTTATCTACACAAATCTTGATGGTTGGCCTATAGTCTACAAACCTTTCCTTTCAAATCGGTGGAAACACAAATGGAGGAGTGATTCACTTAACTCATATTTGTTAAACACCACCATATGACAGACAAATGGGAATCCAACAGTGAACAAAACAGACAATTCTCGGCCCTGGTGGGACTTTCAGTTCCTAAATTGAGATGTGGGAGGGCAGTCTATGTGCGCCCCCCCACACACACACACACACAGCCCAGGCTTCCCAGTTCACTGATAAAAAGCTAATAAACCGGGAAAGCAAAGTTCCCAAGAGGTCTCGATGTTAATCCCACTTCCTAATAACAACGGGGAGGCTCCTGTCCTCTCCTTAATCGGGTCTTGCTTATCAAGCCCCAGCTTCCTGTTGTGACCCAGGGGAACTAGTGCCTTGTGTTGTTTGGCAGGAAGAAATGTCAAGGAGGGCTCAAGCGGTTCTCGGGCTCTGCTGCCTGAAGTGGTGGCAGGAGGAAATGGGAAAGCAGCGAGCACACACACAAAGGCTGTCCCAGTAAGATTCGCTTATCTCAGCGGCCAAGAGATAAGCAAGCTCAAATGCCTTGTGAGGGTGCAGAGGGGCTGTTATTTCAACAGCAGGATAATCATCCTTCACAGGTATGGTTATCTTTAAGAAAAGCCTTCACCACAGGAATCCCACTTAACCCCTCAGGCTGTAGGAGTTAGGAATTAACCTCATTAATCCCACCTTGCCCTTGTAAATTGACTCCTCTCTCTCCACACCCTCCTTCCACACAGCATTAAAACAACAAAACAAAACAAAACCCTCTTACCTCATTGACAGACACCTCCTCACAGCCAAGTCCATAAACTTTTCGAATATACTTGTTGGTTTCACTCATCCCACCGTGCACCAGTCCCAAGTGCCACTAAGAGTGTTCTTGCTGTCCCCAATGATGTCCTGTTTGTCTAGTCTCAAAGATACTTGTCAGTCTCTACCATGGCTGGCTTCTTGTGGCTTCTGAAACCAGTCACTGCTTGTTCTCCTCAGCCGGCTCCGTTCTGTCCTGCCTCCAGTCCCCTCTGCTACCCTCAACGCCTTCAACCACGCATGTACACCTCTCTGTCTCTCCCTTTCCTTAAGTGAGTTCTTTTTCCTCAGAATCCTATTCCAGCTTCCGGTTTGAGCACTCTTTCCTAACTCTTGGTCTCTCTCAACCTCAAAAACATACTCGGTCCCTCTCTGCTACATAGAGTCACTAAAGCACTTAGCATCTGGTGTTATGATAAACCAATGTTTCTTTATTCTGAAGAAAAGTAAGAAAAACTTCAGAAAAGAGGTGGTGATTTCTCAGGTTTTGCATTCCAAGTGCCTGGTTCCGTGCCTGGGACATGGCAGCCACTGAGGCGTCGAGGTATTGGCCAAATTTCCCAGACTCAAGCCATTGGAGGGTGCTGATCATTTGGTCTTGTGACTCTCTGCCTGAGCATGGAACCCAGCAAGGTTACAAGAATTTTAGTCTCAGTACGGAAGACACCTGTGAGCCTTGTAAGTCAAGGGGCGAGATGGTAGGAGGATTTCCTCTTCCCCACAGACATTGCTCATGTACCAGGTGTGGAAGTTTTGGTACGTGCAGTCTTCCTTTCATACTTCTCAGGACAAGAGAAGGAAAAAAAATAATCACCTCCCCTTTCTTCCTCCCACTAGACAGGCACCACCATCACTTCCTTTTGAGCCAGGAGGCAGGAAACCTAGCTTACCTCATGAAACTCCCAGTTAGCATTAGGTTTCCTCACAGGAGAATGTGCTAGGGAATGATCTAATAAGACACTATCACAGGGTTAGCCATGAATACTCCCTACCATCCCCTGAAGTAACATTCCAGGAAATGCACCCCCCACAAAAAAAATAGGAAACTTGGCTTGCCCTGGGATAAACAAGCTTTCTAAAGAGAGAGAGACTGCAGCAGACAGTGTGTGCGTTTGCCAATTACAAGCTCAAGTTCCACCCAAATACACACAATCAAAGGCTTTACCAAGGCCATCATTACAAGTACACGGCCCTCCTGCTGTTGCGGGCCACATTTTCCTGCCACAGTGAAGCAAGAGAAATGTCATCACAGCGGCGGCGAGGCAGAGACAGCTTGTTTGGAGTGGAGTGGCAAGGCCTCTGTTCCACCTGATGACTCATGTCACCTTGTCATGTTAGCGCCGCAGTCTGGGAGGGAGAGGAGGAAACCAAGAGGAAAAGAGTGGGCTGTGTGTGCATGTAATCTGTTTCACTGCTTTAGACGGCCTTTTAACGAGCTTTCTCATTAAGGGCTCTGTGGGTCTATGCTTAAAGTTTTCCGGAAACGCCGATTAGCAAGCTGAAATCAGATGGCACCTTCCCAGTGGCGGCTTGTTTCCAGGGAACTGTCAGGGAGGGAGACGATGGAAGAAGAGGTGGCCTAGCAAATCTGAAACCAAATGATGTGACTTTAGCCAATCCCCATGAAAATACTAATGTTCATCAATTATTAGAATATCAGAGGCATCCGGGATAGCTTTTGCTCTATTCATTCAACTTGTTCCTGGGAACAGAGAGGATAATTGTCTCATGCTATTCTACCCCCTCAGCTCATATTTCCTGAAGGGCATGCATTACATTGCATCAAAGACCAAGTGCTCTCTGGACTCTGTCTCTTGCAGTAAGATGGGCACCAAGTCTTACCTAGGCTTCCTTTTTATATCTAGGGCTCAATGCAGTGTGCAAATCCAGTGTTATGTCCACTAAATATGATTTAACCGTTGAATTAACTAACTCAATGAGGTGCAACCGGCACATGGAAAATCCATCAAAGATTTAGGCAAGTGCTGAGCTGCACATCAGAGTACTTTATCAGGTTGCAGGACTCTGAAAACATTTCACTGTACTGACTGCCCCAAAGTAAAGCAACAGCCTTCCTTTAAAACTATCCAGAGGAAGAAATGTATTGAGATTCAGAGAGACAATTGCCTTGTTGCCGTGAGCATCGTCTGTTGGGTTTCTGCGTATGAATGGGTCCTTTTCATAACAGAGAGATAGTTGTGGCTTTTGCTTTGTTTGCCTTGCCAGTGAGTTTACTTAACAGAATACAAGCACAGATGCATGAACGTGAACCCTAGCTGTTGCCTAGCTTGAGCCAATTGTACTCCCTGCTTCTGTTTGGATGGTACAAAGAATGTCCTAGTCCCAGTGATTCTAGAGACATCCCTATGATATATTTGTAAACCCTGAGACAACGTTGGCCATTGGGGTAAGTATGATGGAGCATAAAACAAGGAGAGGGGCTGGGGCTGCCCCTCATTACTAATTCATTGAACTGGGTATAAACATTGAGAGAGGCTGATGCCATTCTCCCTAAAATGTTTGCTGAATGGTCCAGTTCCTCCCAAGTCTGGTGAAGAACAGTCTTGTATCTATGCCAAGGGCTCTCTCTCTCTCTCTCTCTCTCTCTCTCTCTCCACACACACACACACACACACACACACACACACACACACACATACACACACATGCACACATGTGCATCAGTGAAGAAGAGTGAGTGATTCATGCCCAGGGACATCAGAATGAGCTTGAATGTTCTCAGATCAACAATGTCAGTCCTTTGCATCATGATATAGGAAGGACAGCCAGCAGCAGAGCCCTGAAGGTTCTGATGAAGAAAACACTTGGTCTTCCAAGCTGGTGTGGCATCCTATTGGACGGCATTTATAGTTTCAGCAACCCTCCCTCTCCCCAGTGATTCTACTTCCTGCTGAAGTTCAAGGACTTCTGACCTAGTGGTGCCTTGGATCACTAGAGGGCAGCCTGGAACAGTTTTTTCCCAGCAATTCTCTCTTGCCAACTAACAAAGCTGTGGCACCCATATTGTTCCGGGCAGCAGCCTGCCAGCCCAGGCTGAAACCAGTCTCCTTTCAGAAGCTTGTCTAGTCTCCATCTCACTGAATATACCCTGCATGTATTCCCACAGTGGCCCTAGAAGAAATCTGATTTCTGACAGAAAAGGAGACCTTAAAGACTTACAAATTGCGTACCCTGAAACACTAAATATTAAAAGAATGAAGACATTCTTCCAACTCTCAAACACTTCAAAGATAAGGCAAAACTATAAAGACATCTTTATAGAAACAATTTTCAAATTAATAGGCTAAATTACTAAATTAGACATAGATAGATTCCAGCCTTTGTTAACCAAGGAGCCCCAGGTCCCAGCTGACTGCAATCATTGCAGAGACCAAGATACATGCAAATTATTGTGGGGAGGTTAGGATAAAAAGGGGCCTTGGGACAACGTGAGAAGAGAGGTGAGGGCAGCCCAATGGCTAACTCAAGGGCCCTTTCTTTGGGCTTCAGAAGGTACTTACCTAAATATGATCAGCTATCAATTTTCACATTGGCATCGTGGCCATGTATTCAATACAAGCTTGCACTGCACTAACGGGCGCCAAGCCCTGGGAATACAACGGCAGACAAGACAAAGACTGTCGTGCTCTCAGCTGTATACAGGGCGCGACAGGAAATGAACAGGCAGTTACCAAGTAGCGTACTAAGTGACAGGTAAAGCCGGGTCTGTGGTCACCCCGAGTACAGGAGGAAAAAGGAGGCTTCCCACAGCTAGGGTTCTGGAAGCATCTAGTAGAGGAGTTGGGGGCAGAGGGAGGGAGGGAAGGCATGCTTGAAGGCCAGGGAAGAGAGGAAGCAACGTATTAGAGGAACTGAGAGAAAAGCAATGAGTCTGGGTAAGTGGGTGAGGGGGAGCACACGGTGGACCGGTTCAGACTATAAGGAACCTGTTCCAACTGGGGTGTTCAGTAATAACCCTCAGGGCACTAAAGGGTTAAGAGCAGCGTTGTTAATCAGGTCCCCATATTAGGCGGGCCTGCCATGTCAGGGTCAGTGCTGCCTTGGAACATTAACAAACAAGCAAATCCGTAGGACTCTGCCGTTCCCTTTAATTGGACCTTTCCGGTTTCCTTCCTCCATCCATATTCACCAATTTCCCTTGAAAGCCTTTCAAAACAGAGTTCTATTTTAAGGTCATCTTCACTGGGAAGGAAGCAAGAACCTAGCAAATGTGATTGTCACACTTGCTGGACTGCCTGTCCTCAAATCCCTGTGTTCCTTGCAGCAGGTAATCTCGAGGGAGGTACAGAGGGAGGCAGGGGGACACCAAACCCCAACCCTGTTCCCTAGAATGGATTCTCACTTATTGAATGAAGGCAAGACAGAGGGGAAAACACAGAATCCTTTGGGTCTCTGCACAGAACATATGCAAAATGTACAAAGAAGCCTTATGTGCCGGGTAGCTGATGTTCAAGACTTTCCTTTCGGCACACACGTCAAAATTTAAAACCCCTGATCGAGCCTCCTGTCCCCCCCCCCCCCCATCTACAGGTTGCCAAGACACAGGTGATAACAGTAAACTTCAATGGCCAGCAGGAGCGCTGTACAGCGCAGCCGCTTAAGCCTTATTTAATTAAAGTCTAATTCCAGGCTTGTTTGCCTAAAGAATGATATAAGAAAAGAGCCCCCCCCTTTTTTTTTAATGGACTCCGCCCTCAGGCCTACACCACCGCAGCCTGCACTGTACTCTCATTTCCTAAAATGGAGAATAAGCCTTCGGGTAACACAGGTTCCACCACGCGGTTCCCTGGGACAGGAGGCTCACGCCCAGTTTCCTTTCCTTCAGAGCAAGGAAGAGTCTGGATGGAGGGCCTGGAGCCTCTGGTCACAAAAATAGACCGCTGGAGAGCGCGTGGATTGTCCTTTCCTGACAACGAGCTTACTCAGGAAGAGGCACTTACACGAGATTTTTTTTCCCCCTGTTTCTTTTCTTTTTTTCTTTTTCCTTCAAAAAGCATTCAATGGAAAAACAAAAGGGTGGAAAAGAAGCGCTTTTAGCCCCATCCTCTTTATTCCCCAAAACTGGCTCAGGCGAAGCCGTCCCCACTGCCACCCCCAAAGCTCCCTTTTGATGTACACCCACCCCCGCCCACCCCAACAGCTTCCAGATTCCTTTGCACCATGCCCCACCGAGTCCTAAAAGAACCATCGTCTCTCTGATTGTTGGGCTCATAACTGAAACTTCCCACACAGCGATATGAAGAGACATATGATTCAAGCCTCTCCATTCCAGAAATATTATTAGTCTCGGGGAAAAAAATAGGGGCCTGCTCTATGTCTGTCACCTGAAATAAACTCCCAGTTCCTTACCCACTGCTTCCCAGATGCTCGATTCTAAAGATTATTCAAGCTTATTTTGCCACCCCCGGGTTCCTTACCCCAACAGAGCCAGAGAGAGGGAAGAGGAAGGTGAAGCCCTCAGACGTTGGCCATCTGGGGGACGTGGGGGGTGTGGTCACATGGAGGGAAAATGTGCTGGTCTAACCTCTGAGACTCCCTAGAGAATCCAGTTTGTGTCTCTTTGCAGAGCTCGGAACAGCCTGTATGTTCTCCTCTCCCTGTGGTGTGCCTGGCGCTTCCCCAGTGAGATATCTCCCGTAGAAGCTTTTCCTGTGAGGGTGGGGAGCTTTTGTTCTCTGCGAAATCTGGCGCAGCTAATTAAAAGCATTGTCCTGGGAGGCGGGAAGTGGAGGGCTTCCAGGGACCGTGTTTTTACCGGGGGAGAGTAGCTGCTGCGTGCTATTGAGATGTTCTTGATCTCTTGGCCCTGCTGGGCTAGCCACTTCAGTGGGAGATTTTGATAAAGCCCGGTAAAATAAAAATAGACACATGAAGCAAAGGATTTTCTTTGCTTCCCTTTGCGTGTGTTCGTTCTGCGATGAGCTGGGTTTCAATTACAAACCATTTCAGAGAATGACCCTCCAATAGTTTGGCTTTTGATTCCAACTGACCTGAAAGATTTTGGAGGTCATGGGACAAGAACCTTACTCTGTTTCACTGTTTCCTGGCCAATTGCATGCAGGCATATTGCTGAAGTAAAATTTCTAGCAACATTTAATTATTGGTTGACAATGTAGAAATAGTTAAAAACAACTCTTAGCTATTAATTTGGAAAACATGAGTGGTTGGGGCCATAGAGATGGCTCAGCAGTTAGGAACACTGACTGTTCTTCCAGAGGACCTGGGTTCAATTCCCTACACCCACATGGCAGGCTAACAACCATCTGTAATCCCAGTTGCAAGTGGGGGGGTAGACGCCCACTTCTGACCTCTAAAGGTACCAAGAATGTATGTGGTATACAGACAAGCAAGCAGACAAACACTCATACACATAAACTAAAATAAAAATAAATAAAACAGGAGTATGGCATTGTATGGCATCATACAAGTCTTAAAATAGCTTATAATCTAGGATTGTCCCCAAACTTTGCTGAGGCAGTATTCATTTGAGAAAAACCACTTCTCTAGTTTGCCATCTCTAGAGTCAAGAAGCATCATTCATTCACCAGATGCTACAGATTTTTACCGTTGCAGAATATCAGTTAAAGATGTGTTACATTCTTTTATGCTGTGGAATATTTGTTTAATGATGCACAGATATGTTGCATTTTTTTATGTTGCTTTTGTTTAATTCTGTAAAACTGTGTTATTTTGCCTGCCTAAAACACCTTATTGGTCTAATAAAGAGCTGAACAGCCAATAGCAAGGCAGGAGAGGGATAGACAGGGCTGGCAGGCATAAAGAATAAATAGAAGGAGAAAAAGAAAAGAGAGAGGAGTGAGAAGAGAAGGAGAGGAGGACACCAGGGGTCAGCCACACAGCCAGACACAGAATAAAAAAGAAAGAAAAGATAT